CCCCTCACACACACACCAGCCATGGAGCAGGATGGGCTCAGTACCTGCTGGGCTCCCCACTCCCCGCCCCCCCTCCCAGCTCCCCAAACCCCGTGGCCCCGAGTCCCCCCATGGCTTTTGTCTGCAGCTCCCGGCCCCGGCCTCAATGGATCCATTCATCCCGCTGCATCCGCACGGGGGATCCCGGCAAGAACAACAGGCTCAGCCTGCCCCGCCACCAACAATCCCACCGCCCCAAAGCCCCCCCGGCCATCCTGGGCATTGGGGGCCACAGCTGCCATGGGACTCCAGGGGGTCCTGTACCCCCCGGCAGCCCCCATGGGACACCAGCACAGCCAGCACAGCCTGCCGACCTCCCCTGCAGAGACCTCCCCTGCCCTCTGCCGAGGCTCTGGATGGGATCCCCAGGGCTGCGGCATCCCCAGGGCTGCGGGATCCCCGGGGTGAAGGCACAGAGTGACATCGTTGCCAAAAAACACCAGTGCAAACCGTGAAGCCGCACATCACCATCACCCCTCCCCTCCCCCTCCCCCTCGGACCCTCCCCCACACCGTCCCCTTTCCCCCCAAAACCCCGATCCGAGCACAGAGAGAGACGGAACACAACACGATCCCGACCCCCCTTCCCTTATCCCTCCTCTTCCTCCATCCGGGATGCACCCGGCACTTCCCCCCGGGTTCCTCTTCCCTCCCAAGCTCCCGCCAGCGACTTCAAGGAAGGAAAACTAATGAAAAGCAGCTGCTGGGAATTCCAGAAGGATGATGAATGCGCCTCAGTCCCGGAACAATCCCAGGGCTGAGCAGAGGCGCCCCGAGCACTTACTTCATCGCTTTAATTTGGGAATCGTGTTGGAAAAGGGAGGGAGGAGGGAGAACTGGGGGGGGAAGTCCTCCTGTAGGTCTCATTTAGCCCCTACAAACCCCGCCCGCAGGGTAATTAGCCGAAGAGCATAATTAAGGAGCGGGATAAAGGGGCCATTGTGTGCGGCGGCGGGAGAGTCTGGGAGTGGGGAAACTGAGGCACGGGGAGGGCTCAGGGCCGGCAAGGATTGGATTAACCCAGCAGCTGCACAGAGCAACACGGAGAAGCCAAAAAGTGTGAAAAAATCCTTTTTTTCCTTAATATTTTCCAGGTGGGGAAGGAAGGCGGCACTGATGGGGGAGGTAAATCCTAAACAAACCAGCAAATCCCAAACCGGTGCAGGAGGAAGGAAGAACTGCCATAGTCCAGAGACGCAGAGCATCGAATGAGCCCCCCCAAGCCAGAAACCCCCCCCATCCCAACACTTCCATCCGCATCCCAGCACCAAAACCCTCCACGCTCTGACAGAGCTGCCAGCAAGACCCGCCCAGTTTTCGGAGCAACCCTTTTTCCTGCCAAAAATCTGTATTTTAATCATTTTCCTTGGCAGCAGCGCAGTTAAGGATCTATTTTCTTTAGGAGACAGATACGGCTCTGTATCCTCGGGAATTCATCGCAGGAATGGTGCAAAAAAAAAGCCGGAATAAGCCCAGGTTATGGATTTTTCCCTCATTTATTTTGGGATAACAGCCCGCCGAGGCTCATTAATTACATGGAGGTGCATTAATTACACTGGCATGGCGTCGGGAGAGCTGTTTGGATGGAATTCCATGCCTGAGGAAGGGTTGGATTTATTTAAATCCTTGCCTCCAGACTCGAATTCCTGGGGTTAAACTGGTTTATTTTGGGAATAATGCCAATCCTGTGCATGGTCTCAGCTTCGCCTCTGGCAGTGCCGTGCCTGGTTCCCATCCCCTTCCCGAGCTGGATGAGATTCCCATGCTGGGATGAGATTTTACCCCTGTATAGATCCGGCTAATTCTGGGTTTGGGATAAAACCCATCAACTCCACATGATCCTGATGGAATGGATCCAGCGTGGTGGCAATAGGGATTTGCATCCATCCAGTTCATGCACGTCCAGAGTTCTTCCTTTCCATCCCACCTTGGAGACCTTTGTGTTGTTGGGAATGATCCCAAGGAGCCAAACACAGGCTCGGGGGTCCCCAATTCCTGATTCCCCCTGAGGAAAACTGGGCTGAAACGCTGCTCCAAACACCAATGCCATCAGTAGATTCCAACAAATTCCTTCACCGTCTGAGTGGAGCCCCAGAAATACCCCCCAGACAGAAATTGCCAGGGAAGTGATACTGGGGTGGGTGGCCACTTGGCAAATTTCAGGATTCTGTTTGGAAATAACCCAGGAGCAAAGTGAATACACCCAGATGAAGGGCAGGAGCATCCATCTGTTGGTGGGTTGGCACAAGGACGGGCCTTCTCCCAGTCTGGGGTGCAGGAAGGCATTGTGTATCCAGATTCCTAAATATTTCTCAGATTTCCATCAATTTCCCAGATTTCTAAAGACTTTATAGTGAAGAGATGTGAAAGCAGTGCTTCCCTGCCCAGTATTCCAAAAAAGTCCTCCAGTGGTTTGGCTGCCGTCAGATTGAACCCATGGATACATCTGTCCCCAGGATCCATCACCTTCCTGGCCACCTCCTCGGAGCATCTCCTGGCCACAGAGATTATTTGGGGTGTGGGGTTTTTTCCCCCAAAATCTCCCTTTTCCGTGCAGTTTGATCCACAGCTCTTGGCTGCGGGATGTGAGGACGGATGCCACCGCCACTGGGATCCTGCAGATCAGCTCATTTCCTCCAAGGCTGGGGTGAAAAAAGAGGGAAATGGAAGAACAGCTCCCAGTGCAGCCTGTGCCTCCTGCCACCCCGGCGCTCCGCGTGTCCGGGCTTGTCCGCAGCCTCCCGGGATGCAGCCGGGTGGGTTTGGCTCCATGAGCTCGGTGCCCTCGGGCGACACTTCACGTGGGGATGTGGGGATGCTGCACCCGGCTGGATCCAGTGTGGAATTGGAGAGGTGCATCTGCACGGATCTAGCAGAGGATTGGGAAGGCTGTGCCTGGATGTCTCTGGCACAGGATTGGGGTTGGTGTGTCTGGATCGATCTGGTACAAGATGGAGGATTCTGAGCCCAGTTGGATCCAGTATGAGATCAAGAATGTTGTGCCCGGCTGGATTCAATGTGGGATCAGGGATGCTGTGCCCACGTGGATCTGGTATAGGATCAAGGATGCTGAGCCTGGCTGGATCAAGTATGAGATCAAGGATGCTGTGCCCATCAGGATCTGGTTTGGGATTGAGGATGCTGCACTGACTGGATCCGCTGTGGGACTGAGGATGCTGCACCCAAAAGGATCCAGTGTAGGGTCAGTGTAGTGCCTGCCTGGATTCAGTACAGGGTTGAGGACATTCTGTCCTGCCAGATCTAGGATGAGATTGGGGATCATCTACCTATCAGGATCCAGTATGGGATCAAGGATGCTGAGCTTGGCCTGATGCAGTGCAGGACCTCTGTCCTGCCAGAGCCAGCACAGGGTTGCGGATGCTGTGCCTGGCCAAAACCAGAATGGCATCGAGGATGCTGTGCCCAGATGGATCTGATGTGGGACTGGGGACGCTGTGCCCAGCCAGATCCCACCCAGCCTCAGCAGCATGACAACATCCAGGGTTCAGTCCTGGGATCCAGGGCACCTCTGCTCCGGTGGGAGCCCATGGACGAGGGGTTTGTGACCGGCACAGAGCTCGGGTCTCTCAGCACCCGAGGGGTCCGGCAGGGCCTCACCCGGCGGCACCGCAACATTCACCAGCCCCCTCCACTACCCTCAGTTTGCCCCCCCCCCCCCCGATAACCCTCACTCACTTGGCTCTACGAAGAGGCCCCAATCCATCAGGATTCAGCCCCAATCTGCACTTTCCCAACCCCACTCATCCCTCCAAAACATCCGGGAGGCGCTCCAGCCCCTGTTAATTAATCCCCTTTCTGGGATTCATTAAATCATCATTAGTGGCTGCTTGTGATGGATCCCAACACCAATCCCTTCTCATTATCCTGGATTCCTTGCCAGTGTTTGGCATCGTGGCCAGTGGTGCAACATCCCCAAAACCTCATAATCCTAAAAGTGACAAATTGGGAATACAACCTTTATCCAGCCACCGGCCAAACACCGTGATAATTAGCTAATCCACCCTCCCAGTCCCGGGATTTGAGCTCCATGGCCACACCAACCAGTTGCTTCCAGGAAAGCAAAAGTAGGAAAACCCTAAAAATACGGAAAACTCTCCACGCGACACCAGCTGGATTCTGGGATTTCAAACCATTACAAATGCCACAACTGTTGTTATCCCATATATACCCCATATGGGAACGTGGTTTCCTATGGATACTGGGGAAACAATATGTGGAAAAGCATCGCCAGAGCAAGAAATACCCCTGGACAATTGAGGAATGGGCTGTGATGCTCCAGCCCAGGATGCAGTGGGTACCACAGCCAGAGTCCCCATCCCTCCCAGAAGGCTGTGAGGACCCCCCAGGGGGCTGAGAATTCTGTCTGTGTCCCCCCCCATCCCAGGATGGCACCAGGAGGGGAAACTGAGGCAGGGAAGGGCCTCATATACCTCATACAAGGTAGGGAACACCTTATATACCTTTATACACGTAAAACACCTTTATATCCCTAAAATTACTTTAGGGTACTGCCTAGGAACGTGAATGGGCTGGTTTGGGGATCGAGGGACACTGCTGGGGGGGGCGTGTGGGTCCCCCTCTCCATCCCCCCTCCTCCCCCCGAAATTCTCGCTCAATTTGCTTAATCACTTCTCCCCCCGCGGGAGAATGTCGGCCCATTAACGGCTTTAAAACCCTTTTAAATGAGAAAAGCGGCAGCTCAGGGTCAGGTTTCGGGGCGGATCTCCCGGGGTGAGGCCCCCCCAAACTCCCCACCCCTCCCAGGGCCCCCCTCCCACCCCAAAAGGGCTAAGTGAAGGGAATAACCCTAATTTCTCGGGGGGGTTATTTAGCACCAGGTGGTCGTTTTCCTGCGCGACGGGCTGTGAGGCTTGGGGAGGATCTGAGCATCCCCAAAAGGTGGGAGAGGGGTGTTAGGAGGGGGTCTGGGGAGGCACTTACGGTGCGGGCGCCGCCGGGGGAGAGGGCTCCGTTGGCGAGGTAGGGGCTACCCAACTCGGGGAGCATCAGGAAGGGGTAGCCGGGATAGGGGGGGCCCTTAAAAAAACCCCCATCTTGTTGTCGTCTGACCACTGGGGAGAGAAGGAAAGGGGAGGTCAGGAGGCGGGGGGGGGCACCCACGGAGGGAGGCAAGGCAGGGGGCATGGTGGGGCCTGGGGAGGTCCCTCTGGGAACGCCAAAGTCCCTTGGGGTCTCCTTGGTTCTTCGGGGGGGGGGGGTCCCCATTTAGGGGGGGCGGGTAGGTCCTTCTGGGGGTGCCCAGTGCCCAGTGTCCTTCTGGGGGGTCCTTTCTTCTTCTGGGGGAGTTGTCTCCACTTGTAGGGGGTCCTAGGCAGGTCTCTCTGGGGTGCCCAAGTCACTTTGTGGGAGTCCTTGGTACTCCTGGGGGATGGTCCGCACGTGGGGAGGCGGGTGCCCGAATCGATTTGGGGGTCCAAGTCCTTTGAGGGGTGTCCTTGATTTTTCTAGGGAGGTCTCCACTTGGGGGGACCTGGGTAGGTCCCTCTAGGGGTGTCCAAGTCCCTTAGGGATCCTTGGTTTTTCTGGGGGGAAAGGGGGGTGTCCCGACTTGGTAGGGGCCCGGATAGGTCCCTCTCGGGGTGCCCAAGTCTCTCGGGGGTGTCCTTGGTTGTTCTCGGGGAGTCCCAGGTGCTGGGTGGCCGCGGGAGAGGGATCTCGGCTGCACGGGGGGTCCGGGGGGGCAGAGGGTCCCAGTGCTGGTCACTCCCAGAAAGGACCCAGCTGTGGGGGGGGACCGAGCCCGGCTCCTCCGTGGGGCGGGGGGGG